AAAATATGCAAGGGAAACTAGTACAGCAAATCAAGAGGTAAGTTACTAAACTAATTTTGATAGAGTATTTGAAATCAATTAATCTTTTAAACTTAGTAATGTCCTTTAAATATTATTTTTTTTACTGAGTATTTGGAATTCATCTTAATCTATGTCCCCTCAGTTGATGTTGAAAGCAACGACCAGCTTGATGAGTTACTTATTGAGGTGCATTTAGACCCATTCGTAGATCTTTAGAAGGATGTTGAGTGCATGGTCTGTCCGCACTCTGATGTAAAACTCTTATAATAAAATAAGTGACTTTCTATAATAGTCTTGTAAATATGTATTTTGACAGTCATTTTTCGACCTCAAGTGTATTCAAACTAAAAATACTTTTGTAAGGGATGAAAATATTTCTTCGATAACATATATATCGGCAAATATGTATTTTGGCAAATATGTACTTTCTATAATAGTCTTGTAAATATGTATTTTGGCAGTCACTTTTCGACCTCAAGTGTATTCAAACTAAAAATACTTTTGTAAGGGATGAAAATATTCCTCCGATAACATATATATCTATATATTATTCATGCACTCATTTATGTTCTGTTAGTGGGCTTCTGTTACCACCAGATATCGGGATGTCACAGTAACCAATGTAAAAATTAAGCATAAAAGAAATAAAAGTGTGAATACAATTGCTCATGACTTGAAGAATGACCAAAAAAAGTTATCTTTAAGCATCTATTTGAGATGTAAATTATCATACTAAGTCGCATGTTCCAAAATATAGAAAGGAAGAAAGGGATGAGAATACGAAGATGAGATTAAGAAAGGGGAAAAAACGGGATCGATCTTTAGAATAAGACGTGACGATGAAAGTTGACAATCTACATTTTATATCTCACTTACAGAAAAGAAATATTTTCCCTCTTAAAAGATTCAAATTTTATGTTTCTCAATTATGAGCATGTATCTTTTGAGCAAAAGAGGAAGGGCGACTATATATAAGTAGAGCATGTACCCTATAGAAGAAGTCAAGGTAGTGCACGAAACAAAAAAAAATCATATTTTGATAGTTGAGGAAATGTGTACAGTCAGTCTTAAAGCTACAGAGGTTATGAGCAACCCCGCTAAAAACTATGAGTTATAGTACTGAAATTATTGCAGTTTAGGAAAACAAACATCAATTTATAAAATTCAGTAGTTAAGCATGTCCGTCTTTCCCATTATTTTTTTCTTTTTAAAAATTTTAAAAAAATTTAGTGAAATGGAAGATGTAAAAAAATTGTTCAAATTTAATTATTTATTATTGATAATAATGTTGCTAATAGATCCTAAGCTGGTGGTTTGGTATTACTATGGTTTGAAGAGGTGAAGTCCACTATTATATCATCATCCTCATCATATTGACACTTTTATTAAGAGACTTGAGGCTAATAAATGGCGATTTGTAAGCATGTATGAGTGGAGGGAAAGGCAATTTAACAAATAGAACATGGGAGCTGATTTATGACTTAAATAATGATTCCTAGCATCCATGGGTATTTGGAGGAGATTTCACCATAATTATATTTAATGATGAAAAGAGGGGTGAAGCAAAATAGAATTATGGGTTTAATGCATCATTTTAGGACTTCTCTTGTTAATTGCAACCTTATAAACCTGGGGTTTAAGGAACAAATTTATTTGGCAAGATGGTAAAAGGATTAAAGACAACATTCAAGAGTGTTTGGACCATTTTGTTGTTAACCATGATTTGTGTCAAATGTTTCTTGAGGCGTCAGTTAATTATTTATTAAGGTATGGTTCTAATAATACATCTATTTCTTTGAAACTTTTTCCTCATCAATAAAAGAATCAATGAAAACCCTGAATCTTTAGATTCAACACCATGTGACTAAAGGAGAGGTCATGGCCCCTTGTTGTCAAAGAAGTATAGAAAAATGATCTTAAACATGTAGGCCATAGACATTGAAGAAAAAATTATGACATGCTCAAAAGCCTTGAGTCACTAAGACAAAATCGCAATGGGGTCAATTAAAATCTCAAATTATATTTCCTCAAGCCAAATTAGAGTTTATAGAAAAGTTATTAGTGTTGGACATTATAATACAAAAACTTCTTTAAAAAGAAAACAAGTTGGAAAAGTTGTATAAGAGGGAAAAGATCATGTACGCCTAACATTCAAGAGTGGATTAGTTGAAATGTGGAGGTTGCAAGACAAAATTCTTATATACTAGAGCTACTAAAAGGGAAAAAAGGAAACATAATTTCCATGCTAAAGATAGGTCGAGTAATTAACTCATAAGCCTATTATAGATTGAGTCCATCTTCAATCTCATTGATGTAAGGGGTCCAATATGGAATAAGAACCTAGTATACTCTTGATTCTCCACTCTGGAGGCCTCTCAAATTCAAAGATCCCTCTTAGTTGTTGTCTCCCCCTAGATAAGTTGATATTATCTCATATAAAAAATGGTTGATTATAATATTTGACTATGTCAAGGAATACGGCTTACAGAGTTTTAACAACAATGCTTCTTACTTGGGTGAGAACATGTAGCGGGGTAAATTTTTATCAGTTATAGTGTAACTACATATTAAGAACTTTATATGACACATGTGTGAAAACATCTTATCTATGACTACCAGTCTATCCCAAAAAAGAGTACAAGCTGACATAAAATGCAGGATATGTAGTAAGTTCGATAAAATAATAGACCATCTATTTAAATTATGTTATTATGCTCAATATATTTAGAAATTGAATCAACTTCAATTACAATGTTGTACCACTCAGTCTTATCATGCATGGCTACTACAAGGTATATTCTCCTCCTATATGTTTGCCTAAAATTGATTTATGCTAGTACTTTAGCGTATTTGGTGATGTAAGACCAATGGGTTCATTATAATAAATGGAT